TTTCCCGAACGTTCGGAGAAATAGTGCCCAGCTTTATTTTCCCGAACGTTTCGGAGAAATAGTGCCGGCCTATTTTAATTTAGGTCAAGGGAAACCCCCCTACCTACCCTTCGGGCTTCACTCCAAGCCGGACCAAGGCCACCTCTATTCTCACCCGGAGTGAGAATAGTGCAGGCGAGTCTTGTGGCTATTCTCACCCGGTGCGCGTTCACCAAATTTTGCGTTCACCCTAAACCACAGAATTCTACACTGTGAGCGTGAGGAAAAATTGTAGAATTCTGTGCCGTGAACAAACGTTCCATTACAACTGTAGCCTACTAAAAGCGTACAATTTTGTCTGTGGGCAGTGGAGAGAGAGAGAGAAAGAGAGAGAGGAGTAGTGCGAGAATTTCCGGGCAAAACAAAATGGCGACCCGCGTAGTTCGGCTCGATTCGAAAAGTTAAATAGCCGTAGCATCTTTGTAGACAACCAAATTAATTTACTTTTGTGTTTTAACATCATTTTTAAACTTTGTTTTGGTCAATTTGATCGTCCACACCGATAGACAGTATTCAGAAAGAGACAGAGAGAGAGAGAAGAGGGGAGGAGTTGATCTTGCGAGAACTTTCGGGCGGATGAGAATAGCCACTTTCTCACTCCAACGAAACTACGAAATCGCCGCCTACACAGTCACTAGTCCTACAGGCCTGACTTCTGCTTGTTCACTCCCACAATACTGTCAATACAATGATGGGGACCGTCCATATGCCCGTTAAAATCCTTGCCATTTCCTTCAAAACTTATGGTCTCTTACTCTTAAGGCTCAGTCGGAAATTATATTTTTGTTTACAATATTATTTTTCCCCGACTGAAGACCAAGTCCAAAGCCTGCCTTGGAGAGTAAAATTTAGGATGTGAAACGAACTGGAAAATTTTCTGGAGCACGGCTGGAACAGGAAATAGGCAGCTAGAAGTACATCATTCTTCAAGAGGATACAGCAGACTCTGGTAAACAATCAATGAGTACACAAACCTGAGTAACAGAAGTATAGCAAAATCAATAATGTGCCCCACAATGTGTAAATTTTGCTCCCCATTATCCTGAGGTCGGCCATCTTGAGCGTTCTCAACCCCCAAACTAATGTCGTCATAAAGGCTGTTTTGTTCCCTGGTCTCCCAGAATTCAATGGGGGTTTACGGTGATCAGAAAGAAAACGTTCCCGTAAACGGTGTTGGATAGAAACGCCTACTACAGAATATTTATTTTGGTAGTCATTCAGATGAGCAGATTTTGTTACATTAATTAGGCCTAAAATAATAATAATAATGGTAATAATAATAATAATAATAATTTTAAAAAAATAAAAAAAATAATGATGATGATAATCATCATCATCATCATCATCATCATCATCATCATCATCATCATCATCATCATCATCATCATAGTAATTATCATCATCATCATTGTTTGATAAGCAGAGTAGGAGGGAGAGTCTTGTTTGAATTTCAGACACAATAACATAACAATATAAAATGTTTAGAATTTGTTTAATAGCTCATCATCATCATCATCATCATCATCATCATCATCATCATCATCATCATCATCATCATCATCATCATCATCATCATTATCATCATGTTTTTCTGGAAGCATAACAACTACTTATAGTATGTTGGCACCAGTGGTGAGGCGCCATAGGTGAAATTGGTGCAAGCGCTCCACCTAACCCGGTCCTTCACCCCCCCCCCCCCACCTTTTCTTATTGTTTTAAACCAGTCAGTGCTCTAGGCCTAAATCTACATTAGGCCTACTACTTCATCCTTGCGATCCGTCACCCGCTGGCTGCACCAGTGAAGAGACAGACGGCGAGGACGGTTTATGCTCGTCGCACCGCTTGCGGTTGTGT